TTATATGTATAGAGCGTTACTCCCTGGTTACACTTTTGATATTATATGTATAGAGCGTTACTCCCTGGTTACACTTTTGATATTATATGTATAGAGCATTACTTCCTGGTTACACTTTTGATATCATATGTATAGAGCGTTACTCCCTGGTTACACTTTAGATATTATAAGTATAGAGCATTACTCCCTAGTTACACTTTAGATATTATACGTATAGAGCATTACTCCCTGGTTACACCTTAGATAATATACTTATAGAGTGTTACTCCCTGGTTACACTTTTGATATTATACGTATAGAGCATTACTCCCTGGTTACACTTTAGATATTATACGTACAGAGCATTACTCCCTGGTTACACTTTAGATATTATATGTATAGAGCGTTACTCCCTGGTTACACTTTTGATATTATACGTATAGAGCGTTACTCCCTGGTTACACTTTTGATATACGTATAGAGCATTACTCCCTGGTTACACTTTTCATATTATATGTATAGAGTAATACTCCCTGGTTACACTTTTCATATTATATGTATAGTGTTACTCCCTGGCTACACTTTTCATATTATATGTATAGAGCATTACTCCCTGGTTACACTTTTGATGTTATATGTATAGAACAGTACTCCCTGGTTACACTTTTGATATTATACGTATAGTGTTACTCCCTGGTTACACTTTTGATATTATACGTATAGTGTTACTCCCTGGTTACACTTTTGATATTGTACGTTATTTTTTTGCATCTTGAAAAAAGTTAGGATTTTTTACAAATGTTTATAATTGGAAATACAATAAATATGACAAAACTTTCAATTTTATTGTTTGCATCATCAATATATCCTGTTTGTTAACTGCATATAGGGTCATGTGATCAATGGCTGTAGAAATTGGTAATTTTGTATATTTAGTATGATGATGTATCTTAGTTGTATAATACAAATATGGACCCTGATGAAGCTACAATTCATCCTGTTAATAACTCTGTATTAATAGTTTACATTATGAATAATGCATTAAATATATATATCTATTAGATTAACTTTAATAAAATTAAATGAAAACTTAATTTAGTATTTCTGTGATGCACATATTACGTGGATATGTGTTTTACCGACTTTATATTCTGTAATAAATAATCTTGACCACAAACTCGCACAGTGTATATACTTAATGCATATACTAACATTACCTCTTATAATAATTTGTCTTTCAAAAACATTTTTCTTTAAAACCAAATACTATTTGTTTTTGTTCTTTCATCTCAAAGAAAGTGCATTTATTCAATAACTGTGTAGTTTTTTGTGTCTTGTTTTACATCTTTGTGTTTACTTCCATACTTATATAATTAAAATCTTCATAATTAAATATTATATTGGCCATATCATAATTAAGTTGTAGACTAGCTTGTAATAATATCGGTTACTTATGTACTAAATCTAGACTATTAAATATTACATAAAGCAAATATAGTATGTGATTAAATCTTTTGCTATTTATTATTGGACTGTTTTTCACAACAAACACAAAAGGCCTTTAGATAATGATACATAATTTTTATCAGGTATTTTACTTTATAGTTTGCTCATTTTTCATTTATATAAATACCTTGTAGTGAAATGCAGTCATTTACTAAAAAGAAGTTCTCGGAAAGTTAATGTAAATAAAGCTTCAGTTTCAAAGCTTCATTAGTATGATATTTTTTGTAGTATTATAAAGAAGCTAGTAAGTGGATGAAATTTGTGATTGTAATCCAGTTCATATTCAGAAAGAAAAAGAATTACTTGGCACACTGTTACATTAGAAAATTTGTGTATTAGCAGGAGTAAAATGGCTGAATAGTATATACAAGTGTTGGTATACACTATAGACAAACAATGAGATAGTTGGTAATTCTTTATAGCTATAAGTAAGTACAAGATCTTAAAATTTTGGAATTATTTTGTTTGTGACATGTTAATTTTTGTAGGTTTTAATTAATTGGGAAGAAGACTATTTAAGCTGTTAATGATTATTGTAAGTTATTTTTAACTAATTATTTTGGATTCCTTTTTTAGTTTTGATTTTAAACGGTGTTAAAGTATCTTTTTTTAAATACATATGTTGGTTAACTACATTGACAGTTACTGGTTTTTAGGCATTAGGTGATGCTTTTGAGGTAATTTCATTGGTCATAACAGCTTGTTCTTATTTTTTGTAAGTGTATTTTTTTCTTTTAAGAAAAAAGGAAAAAAAGAAATCAAGAAAAAAATCAAAGTCAAAGGAAAAAAGAAAAACTAAGGTAAGATTGTACAGTGGCACCTCAAAGTAAAAATCCCTGATCTGTTTGGTAACATATTTGAGTACGATAAAATTATTAACTGATAAATTTAATGTTTATTCTGCATTTTATTTTTATGAATAAAATTTTAGAAAGTGCACTGTAAGCATTATCATTGAGTTTTGCTGCACTTTTCACAAAAACCTCAAGTAATTTTATAAAAAAGAAAATAAATTTACACAATTCTAATATAGAAATCAGAGTTAGATTAGATTTTTTATAATTGTACCATTTATTGGAAGAAAACAAACAAGATTTAGGTGCAATGGAAGGTAAATTTGTTATACTTAAAATGTAATTTACATTACATTATATATTAAGCATGCTAGAATCCATCCTTAAATAGCAATGTTTTTACTGAATAAAATAGAATTTCTGTTTTCAAAAATGTTGTATCACTAATTTTTAATTTGAGAAAAACATTTAGACATTTTACTGTTGTTGCATAACCATATCGAAAGTCCTTATAGGGCTAAACAAGATCATACATATAATATGAGAAAAACTTCAAAATGAAACAACAAAGATTGACAGTTTTTGTATGATTGTAATGTCTTCAAATTGAGTGAGATGTACTTATGTTTTTATATTGTAGAAAAGTACCTCTAGAATCAGACAAGTTTGAAAAAATTATATTATTTTGAACAATAAATAATTGTGATGATACTTAATCTGTTTTAATTAGGTAAACACTGGTAATACTAAAGTGTTTCAAACCATGCAATATACTCTATCATTCAGTATATTTGGACTTGCAAGTCTGAATCAGTCCTTGAATGATTTTGATAAAATAATTAATAGCATCAAGTTCTTTATCATTCAGTAGATTTGGATTCACATGTGTGAAATAATCACAAATTATTTGATAAAATAATGGATATCATCATATGAAATGTTATTTCCCTGAAAGGTGGCCAGAGGCTGTCTGGAGGGGTCACCTGTTTTAATTACTCACACCAGTAGTGTGTTGTCTGTCAGTCAGTCAAAAGACATTAAAATTATGTCACATAAGGGATGCTTAACATTGCAGTTTTTACTGTTGTGACATCAGTAAAACATGCACATGCCATGAATCTCTAGAAGAATTATGCACTCTGTAGGCTACAACACAACATGACATATGAACTTCAAAAGCAAGAAATAAAAATATTTGTTACTCTTAATTTTGGTTTTAGTTACTCTTGAAACAGAATACTTTCGGGGACACTGAGCAAGTGCATCTAATTTATTATTCTGTAGATAAAGAAGTTAGGATTTTAGTAAGTAAATTATGAAAATTTCATTCAATAAACTAAAGTCCAGGAATAATTTGTGTTTGTTCTTCAGTTAATTACTAAAACAAGAAGGAGCACATCACTGGCATATGTAGACCATTGCTATATAGGTAGTTAAGTTTTATTCATCACACTTGTTTTTATGTTCTGTTTAGTCTAGAATATTTTTATTCTCTTTGTAGCAGTCTAGCAGTTTCTTGTAAAAAGCTGAAAAAATATTGAGTAATAAATAATTTTTGACACTTTTCATTTTAGGATGATAAATCTGAAACCCTAGTACATCATTCACCCTTCCTTGAAATCCAAAGCAATCCTTCAGCATTTGCAGTGTTTGCAAATGTTCGTCATCTAGTGCTAGAGAAACAGATGCAAGATGCTACTCAGATGTATCTTCAAGCTTCAGGGAGCACTGTGTCTGACTCTGAAAGTGAGGAAGAGGAAGAAAAGTCCAAAGACACTGCTGTAAAAGTTCCAAAGGTAAGAAATGTTTTGATGTTGATATGTTTGATAAAACAAAAGATATACTCAATAAGAAACATTTAATTTTTGTATATCATTTCACTAAATATTTTAACTTGAAGAATGCATAGGACGTAATAATTAAGAAAGCCAAAATGATTTCACATGCAGTTTCACCAATCTTCTGCACATGTATGTGTATATGAAAACTCATATTTGTGCTTATATCAGAAACAATGATATATATTTACATAATTAAAGAAACTACGGATTCATTATGGAAGTTAAATTCTTATTTGTGTTTAATAAGATCAATGTTTGATACATTAATATCAAAATCATTAAACAAATATTTTGTAGTTATCAGTAATTTTCTTTGAAAAGTCAATGCTATTTAAAAAGTTAAATGAAAAGACCTTCTTCAGTTATTAATACAAGAAACCGAAACCAAAATATTTCAGAAAAGTTTTTTTTTCTGCAATAATTCTTTGTAAAAAGTTTGTTGAACTCAAATGTAATTCTACCACACTAAAAAAAAGCTTTCACTTAAATGTGAATATTTAAGTAAGTTTTTGACTTTGTATGAATAATTATATCAAGAGTGACAATGCTAATAGTCAATAACTATTAACGTAGATCAGGTATAGCTTAAAAAATGAGTATCGTTAACATTTATAATTTTGTAATGCTAGTTCTATTTAGTATTCATAATGTACCTCTAAAGAATAAATAACTAAGAAAATGTGGGACATTAAAAGTCCTATATTCGAATGCTGATCTAAATTTTCATTCTAAGACTTTCTTAACATTCTAAGCTATATGCTTATTGTTTTTTACATTTCCAATGGGGTCCTGATAGCTATGGAGAAAATTTATAGGAACTTTTTTTACATTTTAATTTGATAATTATCAACCTTCTCAGTAAAAGGTAAGTTGGGACGTGAGATTAGAAGAATCCTTGTCCTTGCAAGATGTGATATCAGTAAAATTGATACAATTTTAAATGAAAATTCATGTTAAAACGAATTTTTTAGAGGTGAAAACCATAGGAATTATTTTCATAGTGTAAACAAGTTTGTTAGAATTACCTAAGCTTCTTAACTTGACTAAGAGTATGGTTATATGAAACAGCCCTACTTTTGATTAAACGTTTTTTTTTACAATGGTACTATTTACTTGTGTCAACTTAAAGAACATCATATGGAACATCAATGTTTGCATCAGTCTAATTAATTTCAAATTTGTTTGATGTGTATTTCTATGACTAAACAGCCTTTGGTAAGAATTGACATCTTTTTATGTGTATATGATAGTTTTTTAATTTCTAACTTTTTGATTCACTTTAAACATTGTTTTGTGATTCGTTGGTCAAGAACCTTTTAAGTGATAATTTTATTCTGCAGGTATGCCATTAAAAATTGATTTTTATTAGTATATGTATAGTACTGTGAGTTTTGTGTTTATAATAAATAGAATTGGAACATGTGGATTTACTTAAACAAGAACATTTGTTTTTGTTGCACCACATGCTAAAACCAGGCTGTTTGTTGTGATTGTACCCAAGTGTATTATGAAGAAGAATCAAGAAATAAATCAAGTTTTCAGTCAATGATAAGAACTACAGTTAAATCATCTTTTATGAGACTTTGACAGGAACTTTGTTTTAATATTTTCAAATATTTTAAAGGAATAATTGTAGATGTCAGTTGTTTCATAGACCACATGTGAACATTTTACATTTCTCTGGACAAGTGGATGTCAAATTGTAATTGATGATATGTTTGTATGACATTATGTTTTGTCAGTTTCAACATGTTTGACTTTTTTGTGCATGTTTAGATTGTAGGCATTGGACTTTGTAGTGTGTTTGAGTTAATAAAAGAAAGCAGAAAAAAACATCCATCTTTATGCACAAGAGCTCTTCAAGCTTTACTAGACATGTTACAAGGTCAACAACCAGAAGG